CACTCCCCCTCAAGTGGACAACCGGGCCATTTTGAATCTAACCAGTTGACCACTTGCAAATAAACTCACATTCCCTTTATTATTATTTTTTTGAGCGCCAACACCTAAAGAACCACGAGCCGCTGGGTATGGACTTCCAGACGAGCAATCGTGTTAAACGAGCCACAGGCCGTTGGGTACATACTCCATACGGACAACTGGGTTAAAGACAAACGGGCCGCTAGAAATGAACGTCTAGACGGACACCTTGACAAACAAGGTGGGCCAAAACTTGCTCTGATACCATGATAGAATTTAGGATGGGGTATGGATTATTGGATTGGGTAATAAGACACTAGGAACGAACCACATTAAAAGAATGAATCCAATCAAGGAGTTCCCACATCGGAAAATAAAGATGAGTATCACTTGCATATATTGAAAGGTGAAGCCCTACCTATCAGCTTAAGCTTTTGGGTTAGAATTGTGGATCCCGACTTTATGTGCAAGTGGTTAATTTTACCTGACACTCTATCCGTTGTTCTTGGCCCGTCGGAATTTCAACATGGTATCAGAGCAGGTCCGGTCCGGGTTTGATTGTTCCTGGTTGTTTGGATGTGGGTTTAGCAAAAATGAGCTACCCGTATGTGGTTTGGGCTGAGTTGGCTAAAAAGAGATTGAGATGCCACCGCCAGTTGTGTGGGCTAGCTATAAGAGATTGAGATGCTAGACCCGTTTGTCCAAGTGCTAACTAGGCCAGGCTAGTTACCACTTGCGGGGGAGTGTTGGAGTTCCCACATCGGAAAATAAAGATGAGTATCACTTGCATATATTGAAAGGTGAAGCCCTACCTATCAGCTTAAGCTTTTGGGTTAGAATTGTGGATCCCGACTTTATGTGCAAGTGGTTAATTTTACCTGACACTCTATCCGTTGAAGTGCTCACAAATATTCTATGTATTAGAAGCTGTAATAGATCCATCTCCACTCTCACCCTAACAACATGAGATTTAGTATGATTAAGTGTGGCACAATGAACTCCTAGAACCTTACCAATAGCTTACAAACTATAGATAAGACATCAACCTCAATCAAGTTAGGCAGTGTTTTGTTCAACTTTTTTTCTGCTTATTACTTATTCTTATTATAATCAAATCAGGCTAGATCAGACCAGATCAGATCAAATCAGAAACAAGTTTAATTATAACTACAATCAGATCAGATCAAACCAAATTAGATCATATTTTCAAAAAATTAGATCAGACCAAACCAAGCAAACGGAACACAGCCTTAATAGGCATGCCATGAAGTAACACTGAAATTCCAGTTTTAGTAGTAAAATTTTGAATCCACCTAAACATCTGATTGGATTAACTCCTCAAAATAAATTTGACCATTGAGTACGAAATCAGTGCAATCCTAAACATTTGAAAATGTTATAATAACATCTTAGATTCTCTCTAACCAATAGTTGTCCACTTATGACATTGAGTTGAAAAATGTTCTTTAATCAAATCTAATTAAGGTTGCGCATTAAAAATCTCCCAACTAGGGTAAGCCTAAATATGTGCACGATTACATTTTCATCTGGCAAAGACGAAGCACCAGGAATTGTAACGAGTTGAGTTCTAAGCACAGTATGAGTTATAACTACACTGCATAAGTACACAAACTATGTTTACTTGCTTCCTATTTAAATATTAAGTAGGTAAGCCTAGCCTCCACTCTTGATTTAGGTATAATTCATGCTCCCAAGTAATAGTCCATTCTTGAATATCAAGAAAGCACATAGTATAATATGTACCTCTAGAAATAAATAGCATCATCAATCTTGAATAACTTAATTCTATACATACAGTTGCATGAGGTTGTACAACAACAACAAAGCCTTATAATGCATGATTTTCTATTAAAAAAGCATATTTTTAAAGTAGGATTAGATGCATAAATTTTAATTTTAATACATGTGCTTCTATAAATGGGTAATTGAAAAAGGGAAATATCAAACTTCGAACCAGAAATGTAAAACACAATAGGGTAATCTATCCTGTACATAAGGCCAACATATAAGGTACTTTATGAAATACAATGAAATTGAACTATGCTATAACAAAATTAGAAACAACAAAAACAACATTATCCGAGTAGCTCAAGGGTTCTGCCCATTGCTAAGTATGGAGGTCCGATGTACGCAACTTGATCCGATGTTTAAGACCTTGAATGCATTGATGGGGTGAATTTCAACCTGCAAATAACACCCTCATATCATGCATTTTCATCAAATAGAACAAAATATAAACATAAGACTGCCAAATTGGAGAGAGAGAGGACAAACCTCCATCCAAATTAGGCAACAATCCATGTAGAAAAAGAACCATCTCGGACTTTAGTTTTCCATTATTGTGTAGTCCATTATGTGCCACGAACTAAAATCTTGTCAATATATGATATGTTTGTACAAAAAACAATCTAATTTATTAATCTATCCAGATTTTCTATTTGAGTGTGATTCCGTGTATCCAAGGTTCATGCCTTATTCTTGGACCTTCTCACATAAATTATTGGGCTTAAAAGCTAATATGGAAAAGACCCATTTCAACCAAGCTAATGTGTCTAATCTTAATCCTAATCTTAATCGATCCTCTAATTTTAATCCTAATCCTGATATCTTAATCCTAATCCTAATCCTAATCCTAATCTTAATCCCCTAATCGTAATCCTAATCCTTTAATCCCAATACTAAGGAGTTCGCATCAGTAAGTTCCATATAATTCAAATGGACTTGAGGACCATGAAAGTATTTTTCTTTCTTCTATTTATGTTCATGGAATGGGGATAGTCGAAAGTATTTTTCTATCATTTCATAATTATCTACTATAATGTTTTCGTTGTATAAATGTAAATGTGGAGTGAAGAACAATTAACAAGAATGTCATGCATGATACTTGAATCCCTGCTTATTAATTACCAGTTCAGTGGACCATATAGATACATGAAAGCATTAAGTACCCTATGAGCAGGGGCGGACCCACATTGGGTCACACGGGGTCAAGCGACCCCACGGAAATTTTAAATTTTTTAATTATATATTTATATATATATGTAAATAATTTTTTTAGTGTATACCTATACATAGTATATAGTCTACAAAACGCTACAAGTTTCAACTCGCTAGTGTTGAAGCAGTGGAGAGATCCGTTGCTTTCATTCGAGTGGGCGGTCCTGTGTTCGAATCCACCTATAGGGTGGTGACTTTATATTTTATTTTTTGGAAGATTGATATCTAAAACTGTGTCGTTTTGTTTCTTTTTTTCTGTTTTTTTTTTTCAATTTTCTCTTAAACCTATAGTTCCAATCCACCCATCCCAATTCGGCACGTTCCCAGACCTAATTGCAATCGGAACTTGAGACTGACCCATCCTCTCTCGCCGACGGCCATCTACAAACCTCCGCCGGACCGCCGACCGCCACTTGGAAGTTGGAACCGACGAGGACCCCCAAGGCCCCAATTTCTCGAACAAATATTCTCTTTGACAGATTTTTTCTCTTACACAATTGAATCTAATTATCTAAATTGGATATTTCTTTTTTTATTTGTAAATTGTGAAAATTTTAATTTATTGTTATAAATTTGTTATTGTGAATAGCAGAATAGGGAATTGAATTCGTTTATTTATTTTGTAAGATTGTGATTTGTGAATATCTTAAGAATGAGGTTCGAAACAAAATTTGTGACCAATGGTTAAATGATTGTCTAGTGACATATATTGAAAGAGATGTCTTTGCTACTATTAGCAATGATAAAATAATAAATCACTTTCAAAATATGAAAACTAGACGTTATCAATTGTAATATGTATTTCACATTTGCAATGAAGAATTATTTTTATTTAGTATTTTAATTTCAATAATATATATAAACTTTAATGTTATGTATTATAGAATATTGTTTATTTACTGTTAGAAGCGTGATGGCTGGATATAAATTTTCTAAATTGCGACCCCATGGTATAAATGTTCTGGGTCCGCCCCTGCCTATGAGTACAATCAGGAAACGAAAAAAAATTGCATGATGATGTTGAGGCATTGTTTTAATTTTTATTATTGAGATATTGATTTCTATGAAGATGATATTCTTAACTTAATTATGGAGTTCAGTGCTCAACTTTCTCCCATGGTGAAACAATTGAGATTGGGGAACTCATGATATTTCTTAGGATTTTCTTTTGCAATGTTGAAACATGAAAACCTGTCTTACTCTCCCGTGCTTATAATACAGCTTGTTGCTGCTGTGTTTGATAAGCGGCCGATTTATGTTATAGTTCAAAAATTATGTTCCAACTTCCAATTAAAAGAGTTAATAGTGAAATTTAATTAAAATATTTAATATGGTTTTGTTACTCTTGCGAACTTTATGGACTACGTAACCCATTTTTTTCAGAAGATGCAAGCACAACACGTGGAAAAGATGTTGCACTTGCTCGCTTGGGGCAGAGTCGTATTATACTTGTAATGATATTGGCTGATCATAGGGGCAAAAAGTATAAGTTCATTGAAGATGCTCAAGCATTGGTTAGAGATGTTCATGAGGACAGACATTTTTTCCCTTGGGAGCATTGGTTTGGTTGTTTACCCAGGTCCCCTGGTGAAAATTCTTAGCAACTAAAGGGAAGTGCACAAATATTCTTCTCAATGTTTTCTTGTCTAGTTTCAATTTTGTAAACTAGTCCCTTGGGCTCGATCTTGCAGTTGGGATTCTAGGGAATGCTGCTCTGGTTGCATTTAGTGTGCTAGCATTAATGCGAATGCAACAAGCAGGTTTCAAGGAACACAATTCTTTGGACTATGCACCAAGGCAGGAAGATGCCCTCTACACCCAAACTCTTACCAAGGTGTCTAAACCAGTCGATTCTTCATCTAGGCGTGTAAAGCAGTTAGATGTGTTGTCTTCAAGGGGATAAGACTGAAAACATAAGGCTGCTATCTAGTCTTAGCTTTCTAAAACTACCTCTGCAAAGACTGAGATGTAAATAGAATTTAGTCTACATTTCACCACCTGTTTGCCTTCAACACCATCATAAACCCAATTCAAAAACTTAAAGTCGAAGTCCAACGGAAATCCAAGAATAGGTACCGGAGCATCTAGTTAAAGTATACCAGACAACAATAAAACTACCAAATCTTAAATGGAAAAAAGACAGACAAGGTTGCAGTAAAAGCGCCATTGAACAATGCAGCAATTTCAATCAACTGTTTTGCAGCAACTATTCAGACTGAATCCAAGCACAAACACCTACAGATTAGGGCCTCCGGGCTAGCGGGGGAGACCTGCTGCTGCTACTGTGGCGGGGACTCCCCTTTAGAGGCCTGAAAAATATGAAATTCCCAAATCTAGTAAAACGACTATTGAAATGTGCTGATGTACATTCACTACGTGGCAAAGAATTATTGGTTAAAGGTGAAATTCTACATTGCAATTAAAGTGGAGTAAAATCAGGGAGTATTATACGCTTCTCATAAATCCCAGGTTACACACACAACAACAACAACAACAACAACAACAACAACAACAACAAAATCTTACTTTCTAGGACTGCGACTCGTGGATGCTCTGCGAGGTCCCTGCAATAGCAAAACGACAATTCAGCATCAGCTACAAAAGCTACACACTATGTACTACGGAGTAGCATTTTGCTAAATTGAAAAAACATAAAATAAAAACCTTATGCCCACTGGGCGATGAGGAGTTGGATGATGATCTCCCACGTCTGGAAGTTGGTAGTCTTGGTCTGTTGACATCACAGTACCATGTAAAAGGGTCAGGCAGAAGCATAGATATTTTGAAAAGAAAATAGCAAACAAACATACTCCTTCAGAACAGGAACAACAGACCCAGTATAGTCCTAACAGTGTTAGGACAATTCTATTAAACCCTTGTAACAGATAGGCTGCTTCCATCAATCAAATTGATGCATTGTTATACTTACTTCCCAAAATTTCATTGAAACTAAGAAGGGACGGACGTTCCATGTGCTATTCTGAAGCTAAAACATTTTCACCAATTACCTTGTAGTTCCATTGGCAATGGACTAAGAAACAAAACACAATCCTTCTGTCCCAAAAAAAGAGGGTTCTGTTTGGTGATGATACAACTTTAGCATTGGGCGAAGTATTTTTTTTTTTGGATTGACTCCGAGGGAACTGGGGGAGGGGGAGTTAGGGAGAGGAGTCAATAATGAGAGAAATGGTCCAACCACAAGAGCACCAGTAACCCTCACAAAGTACACCTTTTAAAAATCATGAAATCTCATTTAAATGATAAAAATTTACTACATATTTATTAAGTTCATTACAAAATGCATCATATTCAACTCGTTTCCAGTATTTGTTTTGGCAAAGTAATCATAAATTATAGTATTTGCAAACTTTGTTTAGTCTAATGAAAAACTCCCTCCTTCGCTCACCTTTCTTCCCACTCTAACTTGGCACGATTGTCTAGGTAAGTTACAAATGTGGTTGACTTCCTAAAATACCCCTCCACGCATTCCAGCGGCGCAACTTCTGCAACCCTTTTCGGCGCTGAGAAGCCCCACCCAACCCATACCTTTGCCTTTATTCTTCTTAGCCTGAAACCCACCTCTTCTTCTACTACTAATTACACTAAAAATTGAAATAAAATAATTCAAACTCAAAATTAAAATTGAAGTTGAAATCTAAATTGAAATCAAAAACAATGTTGAAATCTATATTGAAATCAAAATCAAAATTCAAAGCGGCGGAGTAGAGATGATGAGTTAGAGAGTGGCGAGACCTGAAAGCAGCAGCGTCGACAAATGCAGAGGGGATGGTATCGGCGGTTGAGGCAGAGGGGGAGGCGTAGTCAGCAGTTGGGACAGAGGGGGCGGCATTGTCGGCAGTAGATGCAGAGGGGTGGCTTAGTCTGTGGTTTATGCAGAGGGGGGTAACGAGAGGAGTGAAAGAGAGAATGGAAACGAAGGGTTAGGTCTTTCTTTAATGAGAAGAGAAAGAAGTCCTTAACATTTAAAATAGTTGTCAAATTAGGACAGCGGGAAGAAAGGATAGGGACATCCCAAAAAAGCAAGTAGGAAGAAAGGTAAGGGACGGAGGGAGTAAGACTTAATTTGGAATAAAAGAACTTTAGAAAAAAAACTACATATTTTTTAGGTGGATGGAGTACTAGTTCTCACAAAAATGCAATTCTGAAGAAAGTGTTGAGACAAATATACAAAAATGACAACCTGGTGATAAATTATTCTTTCAGTAGAATTGCTTAAATAAAGAAAGCACCAAGTGGTTGTCCACAATGGATAACAGAATTATTTCATTAAGAGACTTATCGCTTATCATATGTGAACTTTAAAGGATTACAAGATAGCAGTATCCCAAAGTCCATGATAAACCAAAAGAAATGGGATTATTTCAAGGTCTCGAGGATTGCAATCCCATTGTTGAACTGTGAAGGTGTGATAAATTACCTAGGTACAGAGTGTAAGATTAACACTTACTTTTCTTACCAAAAGAACTAGAGTGGGCAAATAGGTTGGTGAGGTTGGGTTCGGTACTTTTGGGTTCAGGTCAATTCAGGTTGGAAAATGCATGTTCATGACCCAAGGTTATGGGTTCAGGTTGACCCAACAAGTTATGAGCATTTATTTTTAGAATATTTAAATTATCTTAACACATATTTTGCATAAAAACGTAATACAAACATTTTTGCATATTTTTGAAATATACCAATTTATGTTATTATACTATATTTTTGCATGTTTAATTAATTTGTAGATATATAGCACTAATTTTAATAAAATAAATATTTAAATGCATATATTTTTATAGATATATACCAAAATCTTTGATCAAACCCAATATTTTTGGGCTGGGTATTGAGTCAAAATAAGTCGTGCCATTTTTTGTTAGGTCAACAAAGAACTAAGGGTAGTGTACATAATCAAGAACCCTTACTTTTCTTACTAAAGAACTTTTATTGTCTATTTATAAGAAATTTACCCAATAAAGATTAAAACATAAACCTTACACCAAAATTAGACATCATATGTTTTTATTACCTACATAGGAGTGTGGGCACCGTGAATTGTCACAATTTGAAACTGTGAATTGGCGTTTCATAGTGTTTTTTAACATTATGTGTTAACATTATTTGGCATAAGAAGTCCTATTTTGGTATAAAAACATTGAAGAACCGATTTTGGTATACGAAGCATGTTTTAGTCCTAGTTAGGTACTTCTCCCTTTGGACATGCCATATTTGGTATATAATTACAAAATAATATTTCATTGGTTGGAGGTTTTTCATTCAATGGATAGTAATCAATGGAAAATAGAGGATAAATTTTATAAAAATACTTGAAGGATGCAGGGTATACTCATATTAAATGTATCTATTATATGCCCTATGGTAGTAAAAAGCATTTAATGACATTTAGTACTATAAAAATAGAATGTCAAAATCATAAGCAAAACTACAAATAAATTACAAAATAAGGGAGCACTTTTGTATGTAAAAGTACACTTATCTATCACCTCCTAGGAGAAAAAGATCTTGAACGCGAACGTATAGGCCTTCTTATAGGAGAGCGGCTGCGGCTGCGTCTACGACCAATGGGAGATCTTCTGAGAGGAGAGTATGCTCGCCGAGGTGAACTGCAAGATGATGGATAGTCAAATAAGTAGAATATGAAAGTACCGAAACTCATTTCCAAAATAGTTTAAAGATTTTAATCATAGTTAGAAGTCTACTAATAGTTGGCCTGGAAATATAGGCAAACATATGGCATGATGACCTCAGCTCATCAATAATGCAGAAAATAGTGTAAAATGATAAATAATATCACTGTCATCACACATTCAATACTAATCATTTTCTTTTGTGCATGGGATGATAGATTAGAGTGGGAATTTCAACCGCATATCTACTCCTTGAAAGGAAGGTGATAAGAGCTTAAAGAAAAAAATCTGAACCCTTTCTGTAAAGGAATGTTTGAGTAAAAATTGAGGACTCAAGCTGCCTGGAGGCCAATGCATCCCTCACAAATGGGTACTGTAAAGGAACTTTTTTTTTTGTAAAATTTGAAGACTCAAGCTGCCAGGAGGACAATGCCCCTCTCACACATGGGAACACCTCAAGGCTTAGGGTCCTTTTGGTGAGTTTTGGAGGTATGGTATGATATGAATTTTGAAATCTGCGAGAAATGATGTGTTTGGAAATCTGAAAGTACAGTGTTTGGAGAAAATATAAATGAAATCAAATCACAGTCATAGTCATAGTTGTTTGGTGAGTATTTAAGAAATCAAATTCTCCGTACAAATGTATTATATCATTTAAAATGTACAGTAAAATTATGTCTCAAATTTGTACTTGTAAATGAAAATTTAATATTTTTTATTTTGTTTTTTTTGCGTGTGAATATTTTTTAAAGAGTGACATTCACAATACAAAATATATATTATGTTCCCAAAAACGCACAAAAAAATCTACGATATAAAACCAAATACTCACTAAATCCAAAAAAATAAATCTTACTTTTACTTCACAGATATTAAGAAAAATATTTATAAAAATAATTAAAAAAATGTTTAGTGAAAATGGAATGATGAAAAATTGTTTATAAAAGAAAAAATATTTTGGATAACATTCTCTTTAATGAAGTAAAAGAGAAAAGGTAAATAAATAAAAAAAACCAAAACAAAAAATGCAATAGAAAAGAAAAATGATGTAAAAAAATAGAAGTAAGACTACAACTAATCCACTATGAATGTGGCAGAGTAATTGTGAAATCAGCAATATAACGCCCATATGGAGAAGCGCTGGTAACTCGGATATCCCATATCTCCCGATATTAATTCTAGATTTCTTTTTGTATTCACCAAACAATTTTCTTGGATTTTGATATCTTAGATATCAAACCCATATCTTTTTAACTCACCAAACAAACCCTTAAGAGAGCATGTTTGAACATTGTTTGAACCCAAAGCAACATGAGAAGATGGTGTGACACGAATAAGCAAACTTTAGAACTCATACTTGCAAAAAGCAAGAAGCAAACCCAAAGATTCTCATTACTAAAACTACACCAGTATGTAAAATTACCGTCTCTTGGGAGGAGAACGTCTTCGAGCAGGACTTCTATGAATTCTCCTAGGAGACCCCCTATTAAACATTTAGTCAGAAAAACCCTAAAGAATATATGACCAATCAAAAAAAGAAAAAAAAACAAACCTAGGTGGAGACCGGTAGCGCCTTGGCGGACTGGGTGAACGACCTCTGGGCGGAGATGTCCGTCTCCGTCTTTGAGGTGGAGAGTCAACACGTCTACCAGATGAACCTCGATGACGGGCAGGAGATCGGCGAGGAGAACCAAGATCCCGTCTCGGAGATCCTTTTGGTCCAGTTGGAGATCTCCTTCTATGTGGAGAAAGAGGTCTTCGATGAGGAGAGACTGTATGAAATCAATTGTTTCTATTACTAAATTTTTCCAGTAGGAACATAACTGGGGAGTAATAATAAATGGATAACATACACTCTCGCGGCCGTTTTGGTCCAGCATTATCAAAGTCATTAGTTGTATTATCATTCTTTAGACCATCTCTCTTAGAAGTTGTCATTGTCTTAGGAGGGGAAAATGTCCTCTTTCTCTCGGGTAATGTGAACTTTGCATGAACAACTTTTCCATCAATCTGGGCCTAGATTATAACCAAACAATATCAGGTACAAGTTGGATTAACAAAAGAAACAATAACAGAGATGTCCACTGATTAAGCACACATACTTCATTCATGTAACTCAAGGCTTTCTCAGCTTCAACTCTATTCTTGAATTCAACATATGCAGATCCTTTGGGAACGTTTACCTGAACATCCAACACCATCTCATTAAACAAACAAAAACTGAAAAAAGATTGTGAAGAGAGAAATGCCCAAAATGGCTCTCCCCTTGAAATATGAGATACTAATTGAAGCCGAACTCATCAAATGTATGTTTAGCCCCTAAATTAGATTATTAATGACCAAAATTTGATTGGATTTGGCTTGAACATGTTGTAAATTTAGGCACTACTAGCCCAAGCATGATTATGTACATGAAACCCTAAAAATAAGGATATGACTGGCTGCAACGCCAAACAACCCATTATAGTCCTAAAACAAGATCATAATTGTGTTGCAAGTTTGAATTTATAATGCAACTTTTTCCATCACAGCTGGTTTTTGTGTCTTCGACACCTGGTCATATATGGCATATCTAAAGTCAATCAGAACTTTACCTAAAGTTCAGGGTCATTAATGAGTCACTTCAACTACATTAGGGGCTAAATACGACATTCATAAAGTTCAAGGTATATCTGGGTAATTTGTTTAAAGTCCATGGTCATGTTTAGTATTTGACCAACGATAAATGTTACATTTTCTAGTGAGATGAAGATTAGGTGCTTACTTCGCGGTCAATTGCCAACTGCACACGCACAACTTCACCAAAGTTACCTGTAAGAGTGTAAGAAAAAAAATTAGGGCAAACTAAAAATGCAATATTATTGCAAAAACTGTCTCATATGTAGTGGACGCTGATCATACACTCACACAGTGTACATACCAAAAATTTCTTTCAAATGGTTTTCATTGACATTCCTACTAAGTTGCTCCACGTGTAGCACAAGTGACTCTGGAACTGGAGAAGCTTTCCTGATATCAGAAGGGTAGCATCGGTTGAGCAGCCGCAAAATAGTAATGTGCGATGTGGTAAGCTATTTAATCAACCAAATTGTCATTTTCAATGCTCGGCTTACATTTTCTTACAAAGTATGATAAACAAACATTTATATGTATTGAAATTAAAAAAAAAAAAGAGCAAAGATAAATGATCTTACCAATTACAGAAGTCAAACAAACACTTTGTGTGCCTATCACCCCAAATCATTTAATGATTACAGAAATTGAAAGAAGCTGATACCTTGGAGTTGGAGAAGCCTTCCTCCGCTGTGGTGCTGGTGAACGACCTCGTTTAGATCCTTCAGCAGGGCTATGGAAGTCCCAATTTAAACTTATTAAATTGAAGAAGTGCAAAAGCACAATGGGAATATATTAGCTTTGGTTGTTAGAGATAGCGGGTGCATAAGTGGTGCTTTAAATATGGTAGCATTGCCACTTTCTTTCTAAGAAATCCGTATTTGGCTTACTGCATGTCTGATTGTTTAGAGTTTAACACATAATAATTTAATTTTCTACAAAATCGATTGAGGGACTAAGATAAAGTGGAAAAGACATTGAAGCTAACCGTAGACAAAACTGTAAGAGTTCCTTGTGATAACGGAAAATACATAACATATGTAACATAATGGTTGAAGGGCATAGGGACATAGGTTTGACACACACCTTCTGCGAGTCGGGCCACGACTGGGAGGACTTGCGCTGCGAGAATGGGAGGACGATGAAGAGTAGGACCTAGAGCGAGATCGAGACTGGGAACGGGAGCGAGAACCAGATCCAGAGAAGGAAGGAGAGCGAGAGTTCGACCGAGATTGAGAGCGAGATGCGGGCGAGCCAGAACGAGAAACCGACCGGGAACGCGACGAAGATCGAGAAGACCGCGAAGGTGCAACAGGACGGCCTCGGCGTGGCTTTGCCATGGCAAGGCTCTGAGCTCGCGGCGTTCGGTTGTCTTTGTCTAAAGGTTAAACCCTAGCCCCTAGATCTGAAAAATCCAGACGAATTAACCAGGATTCACATCCGGGCAGGTGTGGGAGCATGAGAGGGTGGGGGGGGGACTGTGAGCAAGTTATACTACCTGCGTGTCTTAAAATATTGAAAAATGCTAGGGGTATGGTGTACCAATTTATCCCACACCCCTTCTCCACCACATAAATGGGCAAAAATTTCAAAAAAAAATTAAATAAATAAAAAGTAAATAAAAATGAGTGGTGGAGAAGGGGGTATGGGACAAATGGGGAACACTTTTGGTGTACCCCTAACATTGCTCTAAAATATTAGCGCAAAAATGACATTATAACTTATAAGTTAGGTTCTATGTTTGGATAATTTAGTAGGATTCTATGTTTGGATAGAACAACGGAAAACAAAAATTTAATGTACAAACGTATGATCATTATAAGTTATTGTTAAAATATATATCTTTCTTGACAATCAGGCAACGCTACGTGTTGGTGGGAGGGATGGGTCCAAGAGCTGCTAGCCACAAAACTATATAATCTCCAATTGAGACACACGAACTATAAAGAGTGTTCTAGAGAAAATTATGCTTGTAATTTTTCTCTAAAATATTTCTAAAATATAAAATATCTAGTGTAAAATATTTAAGTAAACAAATCAAATTTCTGTCTCATAAAACAGACAAAGGTCCGAAAATAATGGTGTAGAAAAAGGGTTGGATGATCTTCTATTTATAAAAAGCATAATCCACATTCTTATTAATTCCTAATGGAAATTTTTCTTTTAATGTTTAGGAAAGAAATCAAATCTCATTTCTATTTTACTTAGGTAATTTTGAAATACCCACTTTAAAGAAGCTTCCAATTTATTTTGTTAACTTTAATTATTATATAATTAAAACAAAATAATATTACATTTATTTTATGTGTGTGTGTGTGTGTGTATATATATATATATATAGACATTTTAATAATGTGATAATTAAGTATGTCAAATATAATTAATAATAATAATAATATATATATTCAGATATTTGTTCCTTAAATAATTATCATATAATTAAAATGTCCAAATATATATATATATACTCTTTCGCCTCAATAATAATAAAATAATAAACAATTTATTATGCATACATATATCCGAATATATATATTATTATTAATATTAATTATATTTGACATACTATTTATCACATAATTAAAATCTCCAAATATAAATATTATTTTTATATATGTTTGTGTATCTAATCATATTGTCACATAATGTAATATACACGATATATATATAATGCAACTTTACAACAATTGTACCTGAAGCAGAAGTTTCACTCTTTTTCTTGGTTGCCAAATATTGCTTGCAATTCTTCTTCCAGTGGCCAACTTCACCGCAATGATGACAAATGGAATCTTTGTCCACCCCACCTTTAGGCTTTAGCTTAGAAGAACTAGATTTTGGCTCGGTGTTACCCTTGTCTTTAGGTCCATTCTTCTTTGCCTTCTTGAACTATTTCTTGCCCTTTCCTTATTGAACTAGAAGGACAGAATTTTCCTTTCCTTTCATCAAGTTCTCTTCAGCAGTTTGCAGCATCTTCAAAAGGTCTGGCAGTGGTTTATCGAGTTCATGCATCTTGTAATTAACCACAAACTGCTTGTACAACTCAAGCAACGATTGCAGAATCAAATGAGGTGCAAGTTTAGTCCTTTCAACCAACAACTTGCAACTAAAGAGAGCTTTAGAGATTTGGAATCTCTCATGTCTAGCTTTTCCTTGATAGAGCTGTCTTAGATGTAGGATCATATCGTACACCTTCGTACTCTCGTGATGTTTCTCAAGGTCAGAAGTCATCGTAGCCAACATGAGACATGCCAACTCGTTGTCATCATCAACATGCTTTTCGTAAGCATCTTTGGTTGCTCTAGGAGAATTGGCAGTTGGGGCAGGTGGAATGGCTCGTTCGAGCACGTACTCTTTCTTCTCAAGTCGAAGAACGATAACGAGGTTTCTTTGTCAGTCTAAGAAGTTAGAGTCGGTCAACTTATCTTTGTCGAGGATCGAGTGAAGAGTGAGATTATGGTTGTAATTAGACATCTACATATAATTTGTAAGATAGTTAATATCAAGAATCTAAATAATTAGATAGGTCTTTAACTAATAATTCTCCCACTATTTTTCAAATCAACTCCCTCAAGTACGTAACATGTTGATTCGAGACTTCTCCTATGTGTGTGACCCTATTCTAGGAACCTATAAAATTGGTCATAGTTTATATTAAATACTACAAGTGATAAGCGGTATCTAGCAACACATTATAACCCCCAAATTATAGATATAAAGCTCTTGGAACAATTCGTTCAACGACACATCTTATATGTATAACTTTTATCCCTTTATTAGTAATATCTTTATTTAACACAAGGTATGGGGTGTGTCTGTAACGCCCCGAAATTCGGCCTAAAAGAATTAATTAAATTAAATATTAATTAATGACTGAGATAGACCGAACACTGAAAAATAAAAGTTTTTAGAAAAATATTTTAATTATATCAAAATTTTAGTTTTGACAGTCTGATTCCAAATATGCGATCCGTTTTCCAATCGGAACAGTTTGGGCGAAAAAGCGCGTACCGTTTTAGTCAGTTTATCAATTACGGAGTAGGAGAATAATTTTAATTCCCCAAAAGTCTTCAATCACGCAGCCCAATCCCTTCAAATCCTCAATCAAGCCACCAAATCCACTCACACCTCCACTACACTATAATTCCAAAACTTCTCAATATAATACTCCAAATACTTCTCCATTTTGTCAAAGTTTGCCTTCACAACACAATCAATCTCTCTTCACACTCTCTCTCTCTCTGTCGGCTGTCTCTGCAAGGAAAGAATAGGGAGACTCAAACTCCATTGTTGTGCCAAAGGAAGAGGAAGGAGCAAGAAGAAGTACCAAGGCTTTCCAAAATTCTGAGCATAAAACAATCAGTCCACTTGTGAGTCAATTCTGAATTTTTCCGTTCATTTTCTCAAAATGTTTATTATACCAAAATCGTAGCCCCGGACGTTACGAATCCAACCTAACAAACGGTTCGTGATTTCGTTAAGTAACGATGGAGATATGGCCAAAATACCAGGACAGCTCCAGTGGCGGCGAGCTCTTCGAGTTGGCCATGTTTCTTCATCACTTTCACATCCTTTCTTTCCAAATACTTACCGTCAACTCTCTCGTGGCTATTAGGAACTTCTGGAGGTTATTCCCAAGAAGATTGAACGTCGGAAGCTCGAAGTTGATAGGGGACCGTACGTTGAACGTTCGTTGAGGCGTATATTATTATCTTTCTATCACTTCCATCCTCTACGATATCAAGGCGAGTACATTGCACCCTAGTAACGCAATCCTTGGTTGAATATCAATCTAGATATATCGTTAGGATTGATTGCCATATTATAAGTCATTTATGCTTTAAAATCAAACTCATTAAACTCATAAAGTAAAAATATGGTTTTCTTGATACTTTACTTTAAATGAAAATATAAGTCTTAAGAATACTTCAAATACATAGATATGTTAATCATAAGTGTTAAAATAACTCAAAAAAGTATTTTAGATATCAAAAAATATCAAAAATAGGATTCGCAGACCCGAACGGTTGACGTAAACGGTCAACCGTCGCGTTAAAAATCGAAACGGAGCAAGACTGTCAGACAAACGGTCGACCGACGGTGGCCAACGGTCGACCGCCGCCTGCTCAGCCAAGGACCGCCGTCCACCTCTAGTCAACAACGGTCGACCGCCGGCCCTGTAGCTTAATTAAATGATATTTTTATCAGATTTCACCCAAATAAAATAAAGTATATTTATCCATTCATATTGTTTACAAATTTTTCATATCATATGATTCATTTCATCATCCATATTGAAGCATATCACATCATGTGCATGCGTAAGAGATCATGTGTAATTGCGTCTCTTATAGCGTGATTGTGCGGGACTTAGCAGTCCGACATCACCGACCGGGATTAGTGTACGTACATGGTACTTAGGCTTTCGAGTACCACCCCTACTTTTCCAGTCTCCCTTGTGAGACTAAGGCTGCGTGAGTTCGTCGTACCAAATGGGCGAATCTCTTAGCTCAAGGGTCGTCCTTGGACTTAGAATCATACAGCATGAATTCATCATCAAGTACAATCATTATGACTATGTATGACATCAAATACGTATCACCATCATCATCTTGAACATACATGCTATATTATGTCATATCATGATAATTATATGTCTACTTGCTATTCAATTTGGAATTGTTGTATTAGCGTATTCCTCAGCTGACGCTGAGCGTGTAGTTTGTTTTACTTGCTACACGCAGGTAACAATACTAATCATGGAGCCCATCCCGGAGGTCAATGAGAGTGATGAGATGTACGGACTTGTGGACCACATTTATGATGTTTTAATTAAATAAATACCTTTTCGGGCGAGTTCCCAGAAAATGTAAACAATTCGATTATGTTTTATATTTAAGCTTCCGCACTGTTACAACTTTACTCTGAATTTTATATTTGAAATCATCATTTATATTTTATATTAAAGTTTAAATTGGTTTTAAATTATTCCTCAAATTATCATGCGTATTTACCATCACGGTAACTACTCCGGCTCAAATAATCTAGGTAATTGGGTTATTCGAGTTGGGGTGTTACATTTTGGTATCAGAGCATTCGATTTAAAAAAAATGATTTTGGAAATCAAATCAAAAGAGTTTCAAACACAAGTCCGCATCTCTGCCCGGGAAGGTAAAACAATTAGTACTTATGACTAATTACATTTTAAATTAATTATAGAATGAGTCAGGACTCGACTCACGGTCAGGCAAACCCTCACGCAGAGCCTGAGCACGTTAGTGTGCATACAGTGCACACTGAGGCATCCAGTTACGTGCCCCAGCAGCAGCAGCCTCAGCCGAAACCTCAGCCAGTTCCGGAGCAGTTCGCGGGTCAGAACCCGAAATTAGCCATTCCGATGTTCCAACCACAAATGGTTGTGAACATGTTCCAGTTCTTCCAGCAGATGGCTGGAGCGCACGTACCTCCACCACCACCACCTCCTGCACCCATTATCTCGATTGAAAAACTCAAGAGGAATGGGGCACAGGAATTCTGCGGTGATCAGATAGCGGACCCTCAAATAGCCAAGCGTTGGCAAGAACGCACGGTGAGGGTACTGGAGAATTTGAAGGTACCTGTCGAGGATTGGGGACAGCATGCCATATCCATATTGCAAGATGCCGCCTATGATTGGTGGAAGCGAGTGGGCGCCAACATTCCCGTGCCAGTACCATGGACTACCTTCGAGCCACTCTTCAGAGCAGAGTATGTGCCCGATCACTTTGTCGAGGCCAAATATGAGGAATTCTCCAATTTCACTCAGGGGAAGCTAACTCTCCCCGAGTATCGTCAGCAATTTGATGGATTGGCCGAGTTTGGTAAAGACTTGGTCAACACCATGGAGAAGCGCTGCAAGAAGTTCATCAAGGGTATGAGACCCGACCTGTCGTCAACACTCATAATTGCTCCCCGAGCCGACATCAACGATGTCTATAAGAAAGCTCTTGAGCTGAACGAGGAACTCATCAGGAAAGCTGCGTATGAGCAGGCACTTTTGGAAGAAAGTCGAACCGTCCAATCAGGCCCAAGAATGGGACATGGTAGCAAGAGGACCTTCTCCGCACCGAGCAATTCTCGCCACGATAAGCGAGCAAAGTCTACTCCCTCTACATCTGTGGCTGTCACTAGTAAGAGCGGAAAGGAGTAGGTGACACACCGTAACCCAGTATGTCCACACTGTAGCCGCAGGCATACTAGTGAGTGTTGGCTTACACAAGGTCTTTGCCTCGGGTGTGGTCAGGCAGGTCACTTTCAGAACGATTGCCCGACGAACCCAGACAAGGTCTTCCCCACAGCACCAGGCACGCCGAGTGTTTCTACTGTTTGGCAGGCCGAACCTACCCAGAGTCATCGTTCTTGTTAGAATAAGTGACCAACGCTAGAGGGGGGTGAATAGCGTTTGATCGTAGAAATCGCAGGAATAAAAAATTAAGATTGTGAAAAGTAAAGAGCGTAGAAAGCGTAAAAGGAGCACACCAAGATTTATACTGGTTCACCACAACGTGTGGCTAATCCAATCTCCCGAGAGACTCTCTCGAGCTACACTACTTCTGTTAAGCTTACGGGTGCTTAACAAACCGTTACAACCTGAGAACTCGAGTCCCACGAGCCTCAACAACACTTGCTCGGAGATACCGCACTCCAAGGCTTCAACCCGAAGGAAAATATCTTTCCTTTGTACAACCAAGGGAAACAAGCTTCCCTTAACGTGTATACAACACTAAGACACTCAAGAACAAGGCTCTCTTTTAGAGTAAATGTTGAGTAAACTATATACGCTCAAGAACAACTCAAACTTCACACAATTTGGCTCTAGAAAGCTATGGAAAATGATGTTATTTGAATGAGGTGCCTAACGGCTATGATTTTTGAACTGCAACAGGCTTTCCAGCAATGGTAAGGTTCTCCCATCGATGGGAAGACATGTAGTGGAAATGGAGGAAAAAGTGAAGGCAGCCTTCCCAGTGATGGTAAGGTTCTCCCATCCATGGGATCGGAAGACAGCTACTGGAAATCCGTTAAAAAATTTTTTAAAAAAAAGTGTCAAACACCCAGCGATGGGAAGAAGTTCCCATCGATGGGAAGAGGGTTGCTGGTTAGAAAATACTTCCTTCCCAGCGATGGGATAAACCACCCATCGCTGGTTCCCCCTGAGTTCCTCACTTTGATATGTACCTGCAAAAAAGTAACACTTTGGTACCCAAACTATGTCTATGGGTCCTTGGGGTTAGTTAACACACACACCCAAAAATTCGTTTCCTTACACGCACACACACACCCGATTAGATGATCGTTTAGGAATTACCTTGGCCAACCCATGATCTCGTGGTTGGCGGGTTCCAGTCTACCTGAACGGAGTGCCGATATCTCGGTATGATTTGTGTTGGTTCCAGTAACGGAATGTGGACTTTCTTCTTTTCGTCAAAGTAGAAGAAATAATACGGTTTCTTTTGTGCACTTTCCTGTGGAGATTGCCTATGATACGAATATCCTTTTCTAAAGGATTTCTTTTCGTTAGCACCAAAAATGTTGTGTGTTTCATTATAGGTGGAGTGCCTATGTTTGGTAAAACACACGGGAGCTATATGTCCTACCATATTGCAATAATATACTACGTTTGGGTTGAACATATGCCTAGGTTGATAATAGCTAGGGGGTCTAACCATATTCATCCTATTTTGATAAAAGGATGGTTTATGCACGTTTTCAAAAGAATCATTTCTAGGTGTCCTCATATTATTTCTCCTATTTTAAGAAAAATTATTATTATGCACAAAATTATTTTTCTTAGGTTGTCTACCATGAACATTTTCATTCCTAGGTTTTAGTCTAGGTTGTCTAGTGTCCTTAGGTTGACTAGGTTTTCTATTATCCTGATTTTTAGGTTTCTTACGTTGAACCTTAGATGGTTGTCTAGGTGGTGGCTCAACGTTTTCTTTAACCTTAGCGTCATTTTTATTGAAACCTATTCCTTCCTTAGAAAAATGCATGGTGTCAAGGAGCAAATTTAAATCTTTGTGCGGAGTA